AAATAAATTTGGCAAATGATATTTTATCACTTCTTTTTATTTTGATTCTGGTTAATATATATATATATATATATATATATATATATATATATATATATATATATATATATATATATATATATATATATATATATATATATATATATATATATATATATATATTGGTTTTGCTGAACTTATAAATCTTTTTTAGTTGTTTATAATGACGTTGAATTCGCAGACATATCTTATTTGGGAAATAAAATTGGTTAACCCTAATATTAAATTTATTAATAGTTATTTTATTTCCGTAATTCTAACATATTGAATAGGTTAATAATTTTGTACCTTTTAAATTCTTTTCTATCATTAAATTGTTTTGTCGAATTATTTATACCTTGTACATTTCATAATGACATGTTTAAGGTTGACAATGTAAAGCACACACACACACACACACACAGATTTGACAAAACTGTTTCATTGATTGTTTACAAATAAATTTATATTAATAAACTAGCTACAGGACTGTGGGAAGCAAACTAGGAAGTAACTGATAAAATATGATAAAAAAAATCACTTTTAATTTTTTGAAAGATGACAGTTACCTTATTGATATGTGCTAAAGGTGAACGAACATTGGTCGATTAAACTGTAAAGAGGACTTAGCACATGGACCTCTGGAAATTCCAGAAGTGTCTAGAAGGAGTTCCCAATTAAATTGTGATGGAGAAATCTACAATTATGTTCTAAAGCATTGGATATTTGCAGAATTGAAATCATTTGAAATGATTTTCATCAGCCATAATGCCATACGTTATATATAACGTCAAGAAGATGACGTTGTTTCAGAGTTTTAATGATTGTGAGAGAAAAGTGTTTTGATCGATATTTGATTAAAAGTCGTTGAGTGCAGATCTGCCCCGGCTCAATCTTTTGATATAATGTGTAGAATTATAATATCAGTGAAATTATTGAATATTTTTCCGGGGGCAAGCTTGCGCTCAGTAATTTCAATGCTTAAAATTGAACGAATTTTGTCCATATTGTCCTCTATATTGAAAATCCAAAAAAATTGTGACATCACAGAAACAAAAATTGCGAATAATCTAGTAGAAAATAATAGTTTTTGTTTATTCAGATTTTTAATAAATTATTATACAACTCTGTACATATTAGAGACTCTAAATTTGGCTTTTATGGGGGCAAAATTCTGCTTCTACTGAATATAGTTCTTTAGAATAAACATAAAGGCATAACAATCGGTATGAAATACATCAGTCAGGAAACGATCCAATGATAAGCTATATTTACAAACAAGGTAATTATAATGAGAGAAGCCAGGTTAAAATAAACATAAGCAGTTGTATTTATTTGTAATTTCCTAATCTATTTTTTACGAAAGCCCAGAAGACTCAATCGAGATTCGAGTTTCGATATACGAGATTCGAGATTCAAAATTCGAGTTTCAAGATCCAATCTAACCAATCAAAAGGCGGTTTAAGATTCAATTACTCCCCTTTGCTAAGTTTTGACCTTCAAGAAATCATTGAATATATTCAAACCGAAGAGGTTTGATTATATTACAATGCAAGAAAGAGTGTTATATATATCAGCTAGAACGAAATTAGAAAAAAATATTGGGTTTTTGGTCTGCAAAAATGCTTAAATTTATATTATAATTTCTAAAATATTGTAATAGATTTATATCAAGAATATCTATATCGTATTATCTACTTTCTTTGCAGGTTTGATGTCATAATAATAAATATTGATAACCGGATTCAAAGAGCAAAAAGAGGGGGGGGGGACGAATTGTAGTCGATGAGAATTATTAGTGTGCAATTAAACAAGTGACTAGCGATTAATGATAAATAGTAATACGGGTTTCAAAGTGGATATAGTTTGTGACAAGTATTAGAAAGTGATCAGTGACTAATACGGGTTTCAAAGTTAAGTGTGCAATAAAGCAAGTGACTAGCGATTAATAATAATTAGTAATACGGGTTTCAAAGTGGATATAGTTTGTGACAAGGTATTAGAAAGTAACCAGTGACCAAGTTTGTGAAACCAAGAGACAGCCCCTTAAGTACGGATGGCTGAAATATACATTCTTAATAAAGATAATGATTTCTCTTTGTTCAGGCCCGTAGGAAATAATAAAAAATCGCTGTAAAGCACCCCCCCCCCCAAAAAAAAAACAGGGGGTTATCACGGTTATTAGACGTTATTTTTGAAAGGACACCAGCATAAAGTTGCTATGGTTTCTATAGTACATGTATGTAATATCGGTAAAAAAATATGAGGGGAATGTTGGGGGGTGGGGGGGGGGGGTGGGACACGTGCCCAGGGTCCTATGGCTATGTTGTTTATTTTATTACAACGGTAGACAAATGTTTGGTTATCAACATTCAGTGTCAATTTTGCGATGCATGGGCAAAATAATTATATATTCGATTATTATTTATAAGGAAACCGCTCGGGTCTCGCAAGATACATAACCGATCAATACTCAAGTTTCAATACATGACGTAATGGCCATAGAGAAAAAAAAGATATAAAAGTATATCATAATGATAAAAAAATTAATTATTTTAACAAAACAATGGACCCTCTATACACCTTTAGGACTTAGAAAATTTCGTATAGCCTAAAGGAGTACGTATTAAAATTACTTAGTTCATGTTTGCCTTTTTAGTGTACACAAGAAATCTTGAAAGACATCGTAGTAGTGATAAAGAAAAAATCGCATTCACTTTCCCAATGGTGTATATTCCATATAGGCAAAAAGGCTGTAGCCTACACATCGTTTTCTTGATGTAAAAAAAAAAAAATATTTATTTATACATGTATTTGGTTGAAAATGGGGGAAAATGATCATAAATCCTATTTATTTACCAGTCACTAGCATATTTTTTCATCAAATGCAATAAAAGTATTTTTAGCAATTCACACTTTTATGCCTGTCCAATTTTTACAGCATACAAAACTTTTGATTTTTATAGCTGGTTAAATCTAAAATTGAAATGTCACATTGAAGTCGATATCAGACTATTAAAAATGACAGAAACAGGAGTCTACGATTAGGACAGGGAATAGAAATTATGAAATATATTTGGGTTAGTTGGAAGTCAAACATAAAACATTTTAAAAATTATATTTAGATTATTCAGTAAAGAAGTTTCCAAGCACTGTGTAAGGATTTTAAATTTCTCAATTTTATTAAGAGTGGTCATAAAGATTTTAATTTCTGTATCATAAAAATATGTTTAAATGATTTATAATTATATATAATGACAATGATAGATGTCTCCAAGATCGCAGAAAGTGGTCCTCCGACCCCCCCCCCCCCCTATTGAGAGGGGGCGACTCCCTTCTTGCCTATCCGCAATTCGGCAATGACACGCTTTAGGTGAAATCTGTGACTTCACATTAGCCTACACAGAAAGGAATATACACCACTGTTTCCCAATAGGAGAAATATATAAAAATTAAGTTTTCAATTACTTATCTTGGTCTAAGGCTTTGAATACATGGATTAATCAAAAATTATATATACAATACAGACTGGAATTCATTTTATTCCATATCAAATAGTAGATCTGTCTAACTGTACAAATGCACCCTTAAATGTAATGAAATGTATCCTTAACTGTGCAATGTAAAGACGATCCACAGTATTTCATATCAATAATAATTTTCTCCCTCATCCCTCATCAATGTGCTTATTAACTAATTTCCCAATTCAACGATAAGACCATATAATATTTTATCCCATGTTTACCCCTTTATCCCGTGGATATGACTCATTGGATAATTTTTTCATATTCCACAGTTAGGTGCAGTTGTGACGTCACAATGGTTTTTGCGTTAGAGTGATGAAGTAAAATGAAGTGGAGTCCTGTATAAAACAGTGTAAAACATTCGTTGTAAAGTATTAAACATGGGATAAAAAGAATCTCCCATGATTTGTAGTTGGATATGACTTTTATCCAACTCGTTGTGTGTTTTTATCCCCTCGCCAAGGCTCGGGGATAAAAAACACACAACTCGTTGGATAAAAATCATATCCAAATACAAATCATGGGAGATCCTATATCTATATATGTATCTATCATTTTGTTTAATGAGGAAAATAAGATTTTATATATATTTTTCAAAAAGTTACCCAAAATTCATTTTTATTTTGTTTTGATACATATAACATTTTTTCTTGCATTATTATTTAAGCAAATGACCTATCTGTTATAAAGATATTCAGTGATATCCTGAGAGTAAAAACTTAATAAAGGGAAGAAATCAAATATTGCATCCGCCTTTTGATTGGTTAGTTTGGATCTTGAATCTCGAATTTCGAATCTCGTATTTCGAAACTCGAATCTCGAATGAACCTTCTGGGCTTTCGTAATTTTTGGTACGATGTAGAAAAAAATAGATGTCAGGCGCGTAGCATCGATTTAAAAAAGGGGAGGGGGGCACAAAAAGGGAATAAAAATATGCTCAGAAAAAATAATTGAAGACACCCCCTCTACTCTTTTACAATGTAATTTAGAAGCAGTTGCTATGAAATAATTCGGATCCGGACCTTTATGAAATCCATGTTTATCATGTTAATTTCGCCATTTCGTTGAAAGTACTAGAGGGTTTGAATAATTTAGATAAATGAATAACAAATAAAGTTTCGATAAATACATTAACTATTTATTTGTCCCAATAGCGTCAACGTATCAACCATTTTACTCTCATTTTTGTGGGGCAGTTTATCGAATGTTTTATCAAATTCAAGATCATTACTTATCGCGTAAATTTCAATTACAAGATGTATAATTTACGGACATCATATATGATGCAATATTAAATGTGCAAGTAGTAACTCTGGTCATGGCTTTAATTGTTTATTGGCAAAATTTATATATATATATATATATATATATATATATATATATATATATATATATATATATATATATATATATATATATATATATATATATATATATATAATACATGTAGTAGTTTTCAAGTCATTTTCACTTATAAATTTACGAGATACCAATTTTGTAAGTCTGGCTTATGGAATACACCTAAACAATATCTTTCCGAGTCCAACTTTCCCAGCACCATTTATACTGATATGAAACTTTATGAGTCCTTTTTAATTTTTCCTGAATTTCACAATATCTTTGTGCAGGGTTTTTTAGATGTTTTAATGTAGGATGCGTAGCAAATTGTATATGTCTAAATTGAACGATCATTCCACTTGATAAAAGTTCCTCCATTATCTCAAATTCACAACCTTCGCAATTTATGGTTATCAAGTCCACTTCATAACAAGGGATACCCACCTGCACGAAAAACTGAGTTGTGTTTGCGACACGTAGCAAACAACTTCCGCCATTATCATTTCCGGTAAAAATGGAAGTAGCATCTCCTCCATGACCAAGAACATTCACGTAGAACTTTTCATTCTTTCTTGCCAGACCAAAGTTGTAAAGTGTCACTTTATCGTTATTTTTAAACATTGTGACCAGATTGGAGAACAAAGTTTTGATCGGCTCCAGTATGATGTAAGCTCCAGGATTAAAACTTTTTATCACAGCTTCTGCATCTTCGCCTTTATTTCCGCCGATATCAAAAACTGTGCTATCCTTATTTAAGTACGTGTGATGTGAGTGACGAATATATTGAGTATTCCCCGCCCAAAATGCATCGTTTCCCTTCCTGTGGTCCTTAATCCAGTTTCTTATGCATTCCGTTTTTTGTCCTATTTCTTCGACAGTCAAACGATCGTTTAGTTTTGGAAAATTCTTTTGTGAACATGACGATTCCTTGCTTCTAAATTTCGTTGGCACCTTTTCTATCAAAGTTTTGACGGTCTCTAATCCAGAGAGTTGAAAGTCATCGTCAGTTTCGCCACATGATTGTTGGTATGTTAATGAGCTGTACAAAATTCCAGTGTTTCTTGAGCGGAACATATTGCCAATAATGACAATAGTAACCATGCCTAAAGTAAAGGCTAGAGTTAGTTTGAGAACTCGTGGCGATAACTTCATTTTCTAAAAATAAGTGAAAAACCAATATTAATATAAATGTACATGAAATATGGATAAACGTAAAATCGATCTTTGAGGCCAACTTTAAAATAATGTTTTTGCACTCTCCCGACTCAGGATGAAAAAAATGGTTTGGTAGGTTGTGGAGGGATATTGTTTTTCAAAAAAAAAATTAACATCAATGCTGAATTTTCAGAATTTATTTTCTGGAATGTATAAAGAAAATCATTTCCTAGAGGTTAAAAAAGTTCTAAGTCGGGCCAGTTTTGGCCATTCGGTTGGGGGAGGGCAACCAAACAATTTTTCAAAGATGGCCTGAACTGGGATTTTTTAAAATTTCAATTCAAACCACATGTTGTCACAATCTGAGAACTTCCTTTACAGCAGAAACCTTTGATATCATGACCATGATTAAATCATATGAAAGATATCAAAATTAACTTTTTAATTATTTTCGTCCACTCTGTCTCTAGTTTGTCTGTTCGAATTTTCTCAACAAGAGGGCAACAGCTCTGCAACTAGTTTGCTTACAAACTCTTGTCTCCCCTCTTTCAATTGTCACTACACACACACACACACACAGACACACACACACATCTCTCTCTCTCTCTCTCTCTCTATATATATATATTACAAGATTTACATTAATTTTATGGAATATGCATGTAAGTTTGAGACCCAGATGGATGAAATTAAACTTCCCATATTTGTATCACTGGACATAAAAAAGAGACTTTGACCTATCTTTAATTACTCCCTGTGCCATTAACGCATCAACTGAAACGTTTAGTTCATACGAAAACTGGTAGATGCAAGGTAGGAAAAATTTTTATCTGGCGGCCGCTAGATAATTAAGCATTTAATCATCATTTTTTGAAAGGTGAACATGTAGTCTCATAATGTAACTGCAACGGTGTGTGCAAACAAATTGAGTAACGCGCTAACTATGAAAATTTGTTTGCACACACCAATGCAGTTATGAGACTATATATTTCAAAAAATAATGATTCAATGCTTATCTTTATATTTTTTTTAACTACTTGCCTTGTCAGAAAATCTGACTTATATTTCAAAATCCCTTTATTATCCATCATGAATTTTAATTTTAGCTTATGACGTTGCACTTGAACAGCGTTTAAAGTTTGTGACGTCAAAAAAATGCATACTTTAACCTTTTGACCCCTGACCGTGTTATGGTGTTTTGAATGCTATTGATCTCCAAACACTTTATAAGCCGCCAGAAACTTACCTGTCGGTCGCCATGTAAATTTCTGACACCGGTCAAATTAATATCTGGCGTCAGCCACATAAACAATTGGCCACCGCCAAATAAGATTCTTACGATGAGAAAGGTAATCTGATAAAGCATAAATTTTCAAAGAGTAACATAATCTTATTAATATGCTTTACGGTGTGACCGTTGGGGAGAGCGCAGTTGCCTATACACAGCTTACACTTGTTACGTTCACCCGCCTCTTCAAACATCACACTGAGGCTCCGTGTCACCGCAGGCGTTGGCACGATAAAGATCCCTCATTGCTCAATGGCCAAGAGTGCCGATTAAAGGTCAAAATTTGAAGCCCTTCACCGGTAAATGGTGACGTTTCTATATGAGTGTAAAATGCTCGAATGGGACGTAAAACAACATACAATGAATCAAACATCACACTGCACAAGACACAGTCTAGAGCGTCTGGTTGAACGAGACTACAGGTCTTGTGCAATATTTTAGAGTAGATGCAATTATTTTTTGTTTCTTTTAAGCTCTCTGCAAAGAAAGAAAAGTAAACGTATCTCTTGGTAAGGAAAAATTACCTTTGGTCTTTTGTATGTTTTGTAATAATTTCACATGGAATCCTGGTAGCGAAGAAATTCTGGAAATGTTACACAAGAAAATTTGACGAATGTACTGATACAAGTAGAGCTTTCTCAAAAAGCTTGGCCGTCTTTAGCAACAACCTTAAACAGTAAATTGGCACACACCTATCAGGCCTTATTATTCTTGATCATTTCTTCGTCAACGTTTTACTGACATTAGCCCTACCATAAGCTCGGCTTTCTCCATAAACTCCAACTCTGCTGCTGGTCGGAGAAAGCCGAGGGATTAGAAAGAAAAGTGCAAAGCAAAAGAAAAATACAAGCTGAAAAGCTGACAAGCGATAAAGAACATTTCTGTTTACAATGAAAATATAGAAACGCCTTTTAGTTATTGCTATAAAAATATTGCCATTTTCAACTGTTCGTTTTGTCAATCTTTTTTTAAGATTGAAAATCTTGAAAAATTGTTAAGTCATACAAAAATCAGATCACCAGAAAATTATCTCCCTTGCCTTGAATAGCATTATAACCAATGAATTAATTGGAAATTTTCACATCATGTAATTTCTACCAATCACAAAAGAGAGGAAGTGCATAGTCCGAAGACTGTAAAATACTTCAACTCTGTATACCGTCTTCATGGAAGACGGTAATTATTCCGAATTTCCTCTTTTCTTCTTACACGCTGGTGTATTGAGCTCGCTTCGGGAGCGGCACTTCGCGCCGCTCGCTGCGCTCGCTATAAAAGAAAATTTTTGTATAAAGTGTAGATATAATCTTTGTTCATAAGACACAAAACTCTGAGATTTAATTACAAAGGGATACACTAAAGCAAAAACATTACAATTTTCTCCACCAACAATAATATTCCGCTCTGTGAAGTTAAAAAAGGAAAACGTCAATAATTTTTCATGCATATTGGACATAGAATTCAAAATCATTTTCTTCATCAACATGAAATGATAAATTCAGGTCTATATTACACGTATTTTGTTTACGGTACAGATAACACCTAGAGCATACATGTAACTGTGTAGCAATTAATCAAGCACACGTATATGGATCATAAACCCCAGTTTTATCTGACTGCCGCCAGATATTTCAATGACCGGCGGTAGAAACCTATCTGCCCAGAAAATGATATATGGAGGCCGCAAATATTTATTTGGCGCCCATCAGATAAAACATTTTCCTAACCTGGCACCTACATGTATTCAACCCACATGTACGCTTAACATATAACCCCTAAAAAGGATTCTTTAAGTAGAAATTTCGAAGACGGAGAAAGGACATTTCTAAACATGCTATTTTCTACAAATATGGCTGAATAAAATGGTCACTTGATACGTAATAGATGCAACATAATTTTAACTGAAAAAGACATGAATAAATGAATGCAATAGATGAACATCTTAATGTTAAATACAAATGAAATTAGACATATATGGAAACGAACAATGATTTACCTTCATTTTTTATCTGCGTTATTTTCCCTCTGCTGAAGAATAGGTAAACGAATCATAAATGTAATATCCGTATCTTTGTCTTTTTACAAAAGCCCGAAAAGAAAACGATCATTGGAATTTATTGGTGATATCATACGAACAGTAGAAGTTACGTACTCTTCTAGGGAAATACATAATTTTTCACATCTGTTAAATTCAAAACTTGAATTTGATATCTCTGTCCTTTTCAGGTTAAAACCTGCACATGGATTGACGCATATCCTTGAGTCTGATAAGAAATGTTTAGAAGAGCAAAATGTCTGTGCCCTACGAAAAAAAAGATAAAATCAGTACGAAGTCCACATACAGATTTGACACTATGTTTTTTTTACCCCACCTCTGATGACATTGTCATGAAATTCTGGCTTGTAATTGGTTGTCGACTGTCACGTGAGGAGATTGTAGCATTAAACGGGGTCAATCCAAAATCAATACACGGCCAATACAGATTTATCGTTCTTTTGTAATAAAAGGAAAATAATCTTTGTAGTAACCCATAATCCACGGAACTGAAATATCATTATGGATGTTCAAATACCTTACCCAAATTAAGAACAATCGGAAATGAAATGAAAAGATAAATACAACCGAAAAATATTATAAACAAACAGCTTATCTTTAAAAGATATTAGCCAAAGCCCTTTGTTCATTGCAGGAGGAAAGGACACTCTATGGATAAAGTATGAGCGCATTGAGCCAAGAGGAGAGAAAATATGCTCTGGACAAAGATTTTACACAAGGAGGTTTTCCGCCTTCACCTTTACTTGAAAAAATTGGATCAAAGTACTTGAATACCCTCAATCCATGGGTACTTTATGGGTAAAGATTGTGCCAGGTAAGACCAAGGGGAAAGAAAACATACAATGAACAAGGTTTGATTATGCAAAGAGATTTTCTGACCTTGTCCTTTCATGTAGAAAACCGATCCAAGGTCACTGCATACCCTCTTCCCAAGTACACCCTATTCATGACGTTGAACCCACCTGAGCCAAGGGAGAGGAGATATGCTCCAAACAAGGATTTTAACTCGACCGTTGCATGTAAAACTGGTTCAAGGTCCCTGCACACCTTCTACCCATGGGTGAGGTTTGGGCCAGGTATGGCCAAGGGAAGAAAAAATATACACCAGACAATGATTTTTATAATCAAGGTTTTCAAATGATGACAAAAATACAAGAATACGTGTTTTTAAAATCCCTCTAGAAACTAACTCTATGGTACTTTTTTGCAGTTAGAGTGATCTGTCCATTAATGTGTAAACTGCAATTCTAAAGTGTGTTACAATATGTTTGTTTTATTATTTTAAGTACCAGGGTATTATAGAAATTAAAAACATTTGGAAACTTTACATGTATTTAAATGTATTTTCCGAATTTAAGTAAGCAAAAGTACACTGTCAGGTTATTTATATTAATCAGGGAAATTGTTTCTGTGAAATTTGTCATTAAATAAGTCAATAATTTGACTAATTTGACAAAAAAAAAAACATTACAGATTTGATTTAATAGGTACCAAAGTTATTGCTTTCAATCGTTTTTTTATGTATTTGACCATTTTCTGTTTAAGGGAAGAGATGACCTCCTAGGGTCATGACCTATATTCAAATGCATTATGACACAGAG